ACTACTACTACTACTACTGAGATTACTACTACTCCGACTACTACTGCTACGCCTGCGACAACTACTCCTACTACCAGTACTACGACTATGACTACAGCTGCGAGGGCCACTACTACTACTACTGCTACTACGACGACTACTACTACTACTACTACTACTACTCCTACTACTACTAGTATTACCGATATTTCTACGACACCTACTGGGACTACTGATTCTACGGCTACGGCTATTACTGCCACTGCTACTATTTTTACTAGTACTACTACTAGTATTGCTGGTCTTACGTCTACTCGTACCACTGCTACTACTACGACTAGCACTACACTGCTACTACTACTACTACTACTACTACTACTACTACTACTACGACGACGACGACGACCATTACTACTAATTCGGCTACTGCGACCGTCACGACTGCTACTACTACTACAACTACTACTACGACGGCTACAATAATAACAAATACCCTCACTACCACTACTACTGCGACGACTGCTGCTACTAGAACTACAGTTCTACTGCTACCACTGCTACTACGACTACTACTACTTCTACGACTACTCTACTGGTAGCACTACTACGACGACGACTACGACCAGTACTACTAGCACGACTGCTACTACTACTACTACTACTACGGCTACTACTGCTACTACTACTACTACTACTACTACTACTACTACTACTACTACTACTACTTCTCCTACTTCTACTTCTACTACTACTACTGCTACTACTACTACTACTACCACTACTACTACTACTACTACTACTACTACTACTACTACTACTACTACTACTACTACTACTACTACTACTACTACTACTACTACTACTACTACTACTACTACTACTACTACTACTAGTACTACTACTACTACTACTACTAGCTACAGCGCAGCGTCTACGGCTACTGGTACTACTACGACTACTACGACTACTACTACGACACCAACGGGGACCACTACTGCCACTAATCCAACTACCATCATGACTGCTGCAATGGCTGGGGCTACTAATACTGATGCTATCACTACCACTACTGCTACTACTGCACCGACTACTGTTACTACTACCGTTACTGCGACTACTACTACTACTACTACTGCTGCTACTACTACTACTACCACTACTACTACTACTACTACTACTACTACTACTACTACTACTACGACTACTGCTGCTACGGCTGCTACGACAACCAGTACTACTACTACTACTACTACTACTACGACTACTACTACTACTACTACTACTACTACTACTACTACTACGACTACCACTACTAGTACTACTAGTACTACTACTACTACTACTACTACTACTACTACTACTACTACTACTACTACTACTACTATTACTACTACTACTACTACGACTACTACCACTACTGCATATGTTCTACAACTACTTTAGTACTCCCACTCCTACGACTACGGCTGCTACGACCAGTTCCTCCGCACTACAAATGCGACGACTACAATAAAAACGAACACTATCACTACTACCACTACCACTACTAGTACGACTAGTACGGCTACTACGAGTACTACGACTACTACTGCGACAACTACTACTTCTACTTCTACTACTACTACTACTACTACTACTACTACTACTACTACTACTACTACTACTACTACTACTACTAGTAGTAGTACTACTAGTACTACTACTACTACTACTACTACTACTACTACTACTACTACTACCACTACTACTACTACTATACTGCTACCACGACTACTAAGATTACGACGACTACTTCTACGACAACTGCTGTTACTACTACAGCTACGGCTTCTACAACAATTCTAATGGGAGAATGACTGCGACGACCACTACTACTACTACTACTACGACGACGACGACGACGACTACTACTACTAATAATACAACGACGTCTGCGACGACTACTACTACCACTACTACAACTACTACTACTACTACTACTACTACTACTACTACTACTACTACTACTACTACCACTACTACTACTACTACTACTACTACTACTACTACTACTACTACTACTACTACTACTAATAGTACTACTAGAACTACTAGAACTACTACTACTACTACTACTACTACTACTACTACAATTACTACTACTACTACTACTACTACTACTACTACGACTGCTGATACTACTGCTAGTACTACTACAAGCGACAACAGCAACGAACGGCCTCGACTGAAACTACCACTACGACTACTGCACGGACTGCAGCTACTACTACTACTGATACTATTACGACTACTACTACCACGACTACTACCACTACTACCACTACTACGGCTACTACGACTACTACGACTACTACGACTACTACGACTACTACTACTACTACTACTACTACTACTACTTCTACTACTACTACTACTACTACTACTACTACTACCACTACTACCACCACGAATAATAATACGACCACGCCTACCACCACTACGACCACTACTACTACTACTACTACTACTACTACTACTACTA